CACACACTTATTTGATTTTCTTGTTTTTTATTTGTGTTGTATACTTTTATTAGCACTAACTTGTGAAACTGTATAGAGAACAGAAACTGGAATTTGGTGTAATTTTCCACGGACTAACACAGGCATGTAAAATGGTGACAGCATAATATGTGATACAATGTCATTCACATGTGCATGATGTGATAATGTACCAGATATATTTGTATTTCATCCTTCACTCTGCAAGAATAATATGATGTATCATGGTTTCCAACTTCCTTAGTGATATCCTATGATCCTTTATATCATTTGATATATAATTATGTATGCAGTATTGTTTTAACACATGGTTTTATGGTATTTAAATTTGATTGTTTTACTTTTTATATGTAGCTTCACTTGATATAGTTCTGTTGAATATTTCCATCCATGTTCATGCAGTGTGAGGGATGCAAGATGCAAGCAAAAACTCATCATCGGAATAAGAAAACCATTGTTCATGAAGGTATAATGTTATTTTTGGAAATGAAGCTTCATACTTTGATGATCATCTTATTTTTTAAGTTTCATTTGTATTTACAAGGCATTGAAATATCAGCAGTTATGCACTTATCTTTTTTGCAACACTCTATTTTCTCATTCTGATCGGCATCAAGTATCTGACTTATGTTGATCTAAAGAATGCAATGACTGTTCTTATTCCTGAAAGGCTTTCTCTGATCACACTCATTTTGTTCCACCAGATGGCTTTGCATTCTCGCAAGAAGAGCACGGAGTGATGGGCCAGTCGGAAGTTATCCGGGCCTATGACACAACCCAACCCAAACCAGGTGGTATGTAAACTGATGGAGTTCAACAGGAGGATTCCCAAGAGTGTTGTATTCCTATTTATCACACTATGGTCGCACTTTGGTCACAAATATGTACTCATTTTTTTGAATTTACAGTGAAGATAAAAGTACATGTTAAAGGTAAGCAGAAAAATGGATAAAGAGGCTTTAAGGAAATGAACTGAATGATAAAAGACTAATATGATCTACTTAATTTATAATACATGTATGGCCTGTTAGATACCAAAGGTTTTCTAGTCTTCTGTCATTCTTTCCAGTTGCTTTCATTTGGCAATGTAATTATTCAAATTGTACATTAGCAGACACAAGTTTGTCAGAAAATATAATACTTGAGATCTCAGAATGTTAACAATTGAGTAAATAATTTATGATCTTTAACTAACTTCTTTTTTAGGCTTGTGTATGGTTGTGTTTTTATGCGTTTGTAACATAATTACAGTTTTGTGTCACTTTAGTGTGTTACCAGAAGGCCAAGATCACTTTTTGTAGGTGATAATTAATTGCTCTAGAGGTTAACTGAATGTGTGAATTATTAATCTGAAAACTAGAATTCTGGATTGACTTGAGCTTGCAGCAGCAGTAGAATTTTGTATAATTCCTGAAGAAATGAGGATTCATACCACCTTGAAAATTCCAAATGAGGACTTAACAAATAACATGAGATTATCTTCGTCCTCTTGGAAATATGAGGGACTTATCAACAGGTAAAGATATATGAATTTATGTTGGAATGTTCATATAGTTGGTGTTAAGTTAGTTGAATAAATACCATGTTTAAATGTTTAAAGTTTAAACCAGTGTTTGTGAGAATCTTAACAGTTAAATGATAACAAAACAACAGAACATTCTGAAACACAGCGGTTATTTTCAGTGTTGAGTTTGAAGGGTGTTGACAAACTGTACTGCGATCTTGAACACCAACATCTTAAACACAAATGGAATTTATGCCAGTTGATGATATATGCAAACAAAGATTATACATTGTTCATACGAGGAGAGTCTGGATAATGAAAGAAAATAACATCCTAGAAAATTATGGAAAATCTGAATGGTAATTTGTGTGTGTAATACTTGTATAATAACACTTAATTTGTCCTTGCTTTATATAAAAAATACACATGTAGGTTTTTCATTATGCACTCTAATGATTTTAAAAATTGGAACTAAGACCTAATTGTCAAATGAACAGGAATTAAAAATTTGAACAGCACACTCTGATCCTGGCACCAGTAACCAAGACTTATAGTAAAGGATGCTCTTCACATAATGCAGTCATTAATGTCAGTGATAAAAAGTCTCTTTCTAGCTGAAAATTATGTCATGGATAGAATATGTAATTGAATTTACACTGGATTAATTTGCAATTGCAAAGGTTGCAAATGAGTACAGTTGTATTCTCTTTATGATTTTGATAAACTAGGAAGAACATAAACTGAAGATAGGATTAAATCAATAATTGTCCAGCCAATTTTACAGACTTTGTATAGGAATCTGAGTAGTAACTTTCTATAGATGAAGACTATAAATTTTTCTTCAAATGAAGGCATTGCACATGGCTATCATTATTGTCAACTAAGAGAACTTGTCATTTAATTAGAGTAGGATCCTCTATGTAAAAAAAATGAAGCCCCACTTGTGCCTGATAGTCCAAGATGATGTACCTAGGTGTTGAAATGACAGACAAGCAGTTTAGAAGAATTTAGAGAGTGAGAAAAAAGATAAACAAAAAATCTACTTTTGATACTAGCAAGACTTTGGTAATACTGAGCAACACAGGTGCATAAAGCCAAGAGGTATATATTGGCTAATTGGTCAAACCCATCTGGACTATTGTAGGTGTTTTGGGAAGGCATTATTGGCACTTAGAATAATAAAGCAAAATCTAATTGCAGACTTTTTTTGTAAAGAAATGAAAGTATATTATGAAGAGATGGATTTTGATACTAAAAAAGTCACTGTTTATCCGATGGTACTTGAGTATAGGTAAGAAATACTGTAAAGCTGTGTTGATTAAATTAGATCATTCTTTCATTTGATTATCTTGTATAAACAGATATATGTCATGGAAGATAAATAAACCTCTTCAAGTTGATGATGGTAGTTAGAAGTAATATGGAAGCTTTGCAAATCTTCCATGGTCACTATACCATAAAGGTCACAGGATGTTTTTCCGTGTGATATGTTCCTTCCTACAAATATGACATTTTTCCAGTAGGGAATTTATATGTGGTCTGCTATATGGATTGTGTCTGTGTTGTCTAGTTACGATGGGTGTGTGTCACTGTGTGTGGCCCTTTGCAGTGATCCTTATTCTGGCCTGCCATCATACATCTCTTGCTGATTCATCTCTTGTGATTGACTTAATGGTACAATTCTTCACTTTAGATGAATGAGAATAAAAGTAACAAGATAATAAAAATTCTTTCATACTGCACCCTTAATACCAAGAGAGGATGTTCTATAGTCTATTGTGCCAGGATAAGTTGGTATATTAGTCAACTCTTGTCACATATACTAAATTTTTAATGTACTTAATGGGAAGAGAAAATATAAAGATTCAGGTTTATTGAAAAAATGATGTGTATTTGTCTTCTATTCTTGTTTCATATGTATGTGTGTTATGTGTGTGTGTTTGTATGTATGTACATGGCAATGAGACAGACAGGATATTCACCTGTCTGTCTATTGACTTCCTTGTGGTATTGGGCGCTGAATATCAAATCACCTGCTCTGTGTCCGTGGGTTATTGTACGACATGTCAGACAAATGCCTGAAGTCCCTAGATAGTATTGACATTTATCTGAGGTTATCCCCTACTTTACCTTTGATATTATATATCTAATAATAAGTTATCAGAATGCAATGAGTAGTATGACAGAGTATTTCTTAAAAAGGCTTCACATCATTGTAAGTTGAGTTAAAGCTACCTGATAGATAAATATTATATTTTGCATAATCAGCTTTATATGTTTTCCACTGAATTCCCCTCCCTCCACCTGCCCTTTCCCCTGTTTGATTTGATATTTTAAATTATAAATATTTTATTCCCCAAGAAGCAGGAAAAATGAGTTTTCTTGCAATATGTAGTTGATGGGTAACAGAAAACAGTGCAGATATTGTTGACTTGTGGAGCTTCATTTAATATTTTTGTAACATATATCATGTTCAAAATATTCAGGCAGGTCTTAATATTGTGTTGTGCATGTATCAAAGGAATTCTAATTACATGGTTATAAGTCTTGAGGTTTTGTTTAATTACACCTTATACAATTAGCATAAGGAAACATGTGATTACATGGAAGACTGTTAAATGATTTTTTTTTTTTTTTTTTTTTTTTTTTTTTGTGATAAAAAAAAAAAAAAAAAAAAAATTTACAGTGGAAGTTTACTGAAACAAGTCATGTCAAAACTGTTTGCAAACTCTTCAAACATATAAGTAGATAATTAACCCAATGCCGCCAGGAAAAATGCTGTGCTCATTTTCTAAATTTTTTTGAGAAATCTCTCTGCACATAGATGACTCAGCAAGTGCTTAGCCATAAAGGAATCAATTAGTAGACCTTGTGGCCTTACCTGATTTGAATTGACAGGAAAAACTTATTTTTTACTAGTGCTATGAATATTGATGGTGTTGTTTTTATTATAAACATTATAATTACTATATTATTATAAGCATTAGTAACAGCAAAATAAGATAACGTAAAATATTTTTGTAATTCAAATAAAAGGGTAAACAGGCGAGACAGGCAGTACTCGTAACTGGCTCATCAGTGACTTAGTACAAGTGTAGCCATCTATGTGTAAAAACAATCAAACAAGTAACTCGCAGTGGGCATAGCACGTACTTACACATCATGCCTGTTGGCATTGGATTAAAAAATGAAAAGTGAAGATGGGTCTTCAATATCGGAAAGCATTTCAGTAATTATTCCATGTGATTCAGTTTACACACATTCTTATAGGAGTCAGCCAGACAACCATTGATGAACTGGTTAACTTGATTGCAATGGACAATGTGATCTTGGAGAATATGCATCATACATCTTTTTTATGAGTAGGCATATTACTCCCTGAAGGGTACAATGTATGATTATTTGTTTAACCCAATGCCGACGGGCATGATGTGTACATACATGCTATGCCCACTGTGAGTACATGTTTGATTGTTTTTACACATAGATGGATACACTTGTACTAAGTCACCAATAAGCCAGTTACGAGTACTGCCTGTCTTACCCTTACCCTTTTCTTTGATTTACGGAAATATTTTATGTTACCTTATTTTGCTGTTACTAATGTTAAAAACATTATAATTATAATGTTTATAATAAAAATAACACCATCGATATTCATAGCACTAGTGAAAAATACATTTTCCGCCAATTCAAAACAGGTACGGTGTATCAATGTATCAATATATATATCAATATATGATATATATATATCAATATATAACAATATATATATATCAATATATAACAATATATATATATCAATATATAACAATATATATAATATATATATATATATATATATATATATATATATATATATATATATATATATATATATATATATAATCAATATATCACAATAAATAAATGAATATATTACAATAAATATATCAATATATAACAATACATATAGCAATATATAACAATATATATATCAATATATAACTATATATATATCAATATATAACTTTATATATCAATATATAAATATATATATATATATCAATATATAACTATATATATATCAATATATAACTATGTATATATCAATATATCACAAAATATATATATATATATATATATATATATATATATATATATATATATATATATATATATATATATATATATATATATATATATATATCAATATATCATCATCATAAGGGGGCATACGCATGGCTGCGCTTTGCCGTGCCCAACCTTTGCCTCCACCTCCTGGGGGTCCCTCTGAGCGAGCCTCCATGCAGCATTCCTTCCCACTCCCAGTACATCTTGGCAGATCTGATCGACTTGCTTCAGCCATGAGTTCCATGGCCTTCCCCTTGGTCTTCTCCAGCCTGGGTCAACCCTCTCGGAGATGACCGTATGAGCCGGATCTTACTCAGGGAAACGAGTCACATGTCCATAGGCCTGAAGTTGGCGCTCTCGTATCAGTCTGGTAATAGGTCTTGAATCAGTCTCATGGAGTATCCTCTGATTGGACACATGGTCCCTCCAGGTATACCCCAATATCAATATATAACAATATATATATATATATATATATATATATATATATATATATATATATATATATGTATATATATATTATATAATGTATCTATCTATCTATCTATCTATCTATCTATATCTGTATATCTATCTATCTATCTATCTATCTATCTATCTATCTATCTATCTATCTATATATATATATATATATATATATGTATGTATGTATGTATATATATACATATATATATACATATGAATAAATAAATAAATAAGTGAAGCGTTCAGATTTCGATTATTTTTTCAGAAGACTTAACAATCTCGCTCGTAATATCAATTTTAAAGTAGAAAGGGAAAATTCAGGTAAATTACCTTCTCCCTACGTTCTTTTATTCAATGTTAATGGCTCGCTGAAATTTATGGTTTACTCACACCGCTAATTGCTTTTTTTTTCTCGAATCACCCTTTGTATGTTAAGAAGCCAATAGTCTCGTCACTATTTCTTAGGGTATATAGAATTCGTGATTGCGAATTCATCGATCGGAAGCTCTATTTCATTTTTGAAACGTTTTCTAAATTAAAATATCCTGTTTTTCTTTTTTCTTTTTTTCCAGGCACATTCATCAGCAAAATGTATTTTTTTTTAACTCATTCCCGTAATACTCAACAGGACAGATCTATTAATTATTCCGTACAACCCGTTCCTCGACGAAAACGACATTGTCACTGATCTTATGCGTCCGAGAAGGTTGCGTAATATATTAGTGAAACCAAGTGCGGCCATAATATTAATGAAAAATAAAATAAAATGAAATAATGATAATAATGAGCATGAACGTGATGCTAGATACGCCAGAAAATCAAATGCGTGTTTCGTTCCAGCTTAACTGGAAAAGCGCAAAATTAATTAATAAATCAGCAAATTCTTATGAAAAAAAATGTTTAATGGAAAATTGCCTTATTTTAACTTGAGTGCTGGTCAATGGGACTTGGATGACTTGCCTTGCCGTTAGTTAGTAGAGCCTTCCCTAGACTCTTCGACCTTGACCCTCCTCCTGAGACCTGATTCAGCTCTTGTTCGTTCTGTCTCTCTGCCGTTATACATTCTTGTCAACATTCTTTAATTATTTGTCTGAACTCGTGAATATTTATATCTATATATCTATTTATCTATCTATCTATCTATCTATCTATCTATCTATATATCTCTATATATATATATGTATATATTAGTATTTGATTAATTAATATATATAAATTATATATATAATATATTAATTAATTGATATCTATATAAATTGTATATACATATATATATATATATATATATATATATATATATATATATATATATATATATATATATATATATATATATATATATATATGCATGCATTTACCAATGCGCACATAATATATATATATATATATATATATATATA